TTGATGCTCCAACGCAAGAGCTACGTTTTGGTTCCACTCTTCCTCTATTTGTGCCGTGTCATCCTTGAGCAGAGGGGATGCTAATCTGCTCTGTTTCGTTCCGGGTTTATCCGATAATCTGCGATCTGGGTAGTTCTCTAAATTAGGGTCCCTTGTAGGGTCCATTCTATAGACTTCGAAAACGCAGGCCCGTATTTCGACGCATTCTGCTTTCTTATCTTTTAAGCTAGGGTGTCGTCCTATTTTGGGGACCTTAAAAGGGACCCTAATCAAAAGAGGGACCCTAACTTAGAGAACTACCCATCTTCGGCTTCCGCATCTCAAAGCTAGGAGAAAAAACGTCGGAGTAGCGAGTAAAGATAGCTCCGCTCGCTCGAGAGCCAGGGCTTTCTTCACCAGGGTTTTTTCTTTTAGGGGTTTAGGGGTTTAGGGTTTAGGGTTCAGGTTTTGGGGGTTTAGGGTTCAGGGTTTAGGTTTTTGGGGTTTAGAGCTGTAGTGTTTAGACTGTGAAGGCTGCCGCAGTGTTAAGGCAGCTGGAGAGATTTCGTCAGTTGCGGAGACTTCCTTCATTTACCGGACGACGAGGCAGTCAAATGTTGCTGGCACGCTATTGCGATCCACAGCTTCATGGGATCAAGTACCCATAGGCCCCTAAGTAGTTCCTTTTGATGGTTTCTATTTAGAATCCTATAAGGTAATCCCAAAAAGGAACTACTTAGGGCCCTATGGGTAGAGTCGTAGAGACTTGCAAGCTTAAAAGACGTCGAAAGCAGAGCCCAGCAGCTGCACTCGTTTCGGACAGAGCACGCAAAGGTTTGGGGCTCCCGGCTTTCACAGTTCACTAAACTGTTAAAGCTGATTGGGTTTTGATTGTGTGGGTAAAGTAGCTGCTTTTATTTTAATGCAGTCACTGTAGTCATGCTTTTCTGCTCTTTTGCTGTGTCTTGCGATGAAGACTTTGTGCATAAGCTCGGCATGTGTGCCTAGCGCACGGGCTGCAGCCATTTTCGTCATGAGCCGAAATCAATCCACCGATGCCGTGCTGTTTTCGCCACAACTCCACAGAGCTAGTGTGGCCGCATAGCATCGGAGTCCTCTAGAATGCAAGTTTGATGCATGCTCCCCTCATGCTCCCCGAGCCAGCTATACGAGACGGGATTTCTGCGTGGAGGATCGCAGGACTTCGTAAGTAGGAGCCTTATTGCGGATGCAAGCATCATAAACTGCAGTTCATGCTACCCTAAACTCTATATCCCAAGCAAGCCCTACACACACCACAAGGCACTAAGTCCCCTGAGCCTCCAGTTTGGGGAAAAAAACGCCGAGGAGTCTTTGGAATTCCTGCGCTTGAGCACAGCTTGTGTAGTGCCAGCGCAGGGGGACATGAAACCGCTGTAGCTGCTCACGGGGCCGACTGATGCAGCAGGAGTCTCCCTGCCCCTATCTCTCCAGCGTCCGTGGTGGACGATGGGTGAATCTTGACCTGCATTATCTTGTCTACTCTTCTATGAGGTGAGCACTCCGGTACTAGGGTCTTAGAAAACTCCTGCTTTTCGCCGTTGCCTGCAGCAGCACTATAGAGCTGTACGCAAAACCTTGGAAAACATCATACTCTGTACACCATGCTACACCGTGCTACCAGGGAGGGCTCCATTCTTTGCGGGAAGCATCCGCGCCCATCTTCATGCATGTGAAGCCAGTGACTGTCGGATCGAAACTGCCGATGGGAGATGTCCAAACTTCACAGCGCCCGGGAGACCATTCGATGCCTGTGCAGGAATTGCCACTTCTGTACCTGGACGGTCGGACGATACCCGGTCTAGGGACAAAGGGCAAATCCCAAACCCTGAAGCCCAAACCCTGCCCCGCATGTGAGCGGGTGGATGCCGGGAAATCGCTGGAGAAGCTTCTGCTCTTTGCGCAAGGAACCAATTACTAGTCGCCCAACTGAACAGCAAAGCAAAGGAATCTCTAGCACCTAAAAGCCCTAAAGCGAATACCGAAAGCCCAAAACCCCACAGCCTAGACTCACGGTACTCCCCATAGAGTCTACGAAAAAAACATCTGCCCTGCTTTTTTGCTCCAAGTTGCCCTGTGCAAGCAGCCTTGCACTCCTCCAGTGACGGATGCTTTGAAGGAAGCAGGTCCTTGCTTCCCCAATACCCGAACGAAGGAAAAAGCTGCAATTTTGCAGAATAGACGACGAAATCAGTGTATTGCATATACATGTTAGGATATTGGAGCACAAGAGTCGTAGTGCGTCGGGTCGTCGTCCTCCGGCGAGCTGTAGCGGCAGGGATGAGAGGTGCTTGGTTCAGCAGGGCTGAGCTTACCTGGGTCGTACTTTGAGGGCACCCCGGCTCCCCTTTTCGGGTTTAGGGGTTAATGGGTTTAGGGGATTCAGGCTCAGGGTAGTTTCAGGATTTCGGGTTTAGGGGGTACCCTATATAGGATTAAGGGGACCGTAAGGAAAAAAATTGGAAAGTGTTCCGAGTTCCGAAGCTCCACCTAGTTACTAGTAGGCCAGCCATATCGCAAGCAAGTAAAAACCGCCTTCTCCAGAGGGATCTCTGCATACGCAAAGATTCCGAACGCTCGGGTCCAAATCTCACAGCGCCCGTGGCTGTACTCAATGCCCCTGCAATCACCCCGGTCCAGGCCCATGCACTTCAGCTTGCACTCTTCGAGAGAATAGATCTTGTGGACGACATAATGACGAGGATCGTTGTCGGATGCGTTGTCTCCGCGGCACGCATGGTTTCCCGAGCCGCCCACAGGCTCCCACAAGTCAGTCAGAGCATCTTGGAGAACCGCAAAGCCTGGCAAAGCTTCTTCCGAGCATTCGCCGGGCTCCACCTTCGTTGCTGAGTTCATAAGCCCCCCCACAAGTGTAAACTTTCAGTTTCTTACGGGGGTCATATTATCCAAAAGAGTGTAAAGTGCACCCATTCAACTGCTAAGCCACCTGCCGACAATAGCATTTGTACCATCCGCAGGTCTCGCGGTTATATTCACCAACGGGAACCGGCCGACGTGATGCATACAGGCAGCTACCGCGGGCGGGGACACACGAATGGTCATTCGTGCACACTTCCGGCCCTGTCGGATACTCTTCATCGCATCCGCCAGCATAGCAATACTCCCATCTTTCGTACCACTCCGTGCCGCCGAAATAGCATTCGTTTAGAGTGGTCTCTATCCAGCTTTGCTTGGAACTCCTATGCAACTCTCCCTTCAAGGCAAGCAGAGACCATCCGCTCTGAGGGCAGCGTGCTGGCGAGGCGTAAGCCAGGATTGTGAACCCAAAAAAACACGCCAAAATCATGGGCGCCGCGAGACTTGAAGAGCCCTCGATCCTGATTGAGTCCAACGGCTCCGAAGTTCCGAAGATGGTGTTGCCATCGCTAAGCAGGACTTGCACCTTCAGAAATGGACACTGTCAGTTAGCCCGACACGGCATGCAAAGGGCCGATTCGCATCTGATTGCATCTCTGCAGCACGGGCTCCGTGAAGACAGAAAACAACGGAAATGACCATAAGTTGACGCATGCCTGACGAGAATGCTTTTCATACTGAAACGCCAGGCCAGGTAAGGCATGGAATAGTCGAGCTGTACAGTGCCAAATGCCTTTCCACAAGAGCTGGTTTTCAAAACCAGGTTCTCCAAACAGATGAAACGTGCAATCCGCAAGAAGGACGGGCAAGCTTTAAAGGTTAAAGCCTCGAAACTCCACAAACCATCAGCATCACAGCTCGCTCTTGCCCTGCATGTTGCTATTGTGGGCCTGGCGGTTGAGGGATTTGGGGATTGAAAATTGCATCAAGTTGGGGGTCGCATTCCAGCTTCCACGAGCATCATGAAACGAGCTCGTGTCAGCTAGTTGGTCTTCCTCTTCCTAGCAATAGTGTGGGAGGGATGACATAGGTACTCGCTGCGGAGACTATGAGAGCATCTTCCGTTTTGCACTATCGAAAAAAGTCCGTGCTGCGGGACAGCACGACTTAAGGCTTACCACCACCGACTCGTCGTTTATCTTTCACGCTAGAGCACGAAGTAACGAAACACCAGGTTCGGACCTACACTCTTGGCCCTTGGGGTTTGGGTTTAGGGTTTAGGGTTAAGGTGGGAGTTGGTTGCCATATGACATGTCATTGCCGGGCAGCGAAGATCTGCCGTGCCAGCAGGTGCGGTGGCTTGCATTGCATGATCACCCCGGAAGCATCCCAAGTTCATCAGCTTTGTTCGATGCCCGAATCTAGAATTTAGACGATTTTACTGCCGACAATTCAATCTATGAGGAACCCGGCCGAACCTTTGAACACTTTTAGTACCACAAAGACCCATGATACCAAAGGGTTACCCCTCATTTTCCGCAGCAAAAACAACTATATAATTCAAGAATCCAATTGAAAGCGCCAAGCTCTATGTCTCATATGTCATCTTGAACATCTTCAGGGTGAGTTAGCCCTGAACCTAAAACCTCGAGAACTAAATCCTAAATCCCTAAACTTAACTGGGTTCTTGCTAAGGGATTAAACTGAAGTTACCATAATAGGGATCTAGAGTAAATAATAGGGTTTCCTTATAATGGTAACTCAATATAAATCCTTTAACAAGAACCCACTTAAACCCTACCCCTTTTCAACCTGGGCTTGGGTTGCGCGCAAATCCCAAACCCTAAAATCAACCCCTAAAACCCTACAAAAGCCCCAAACCCCAAAACCCTAAAATAACCCTAAGCCCTACAACTCTAAAACCTAAACCCCAAAACCCTAAAATAACCCTATCCCCAAAATCCTCAAATAACCCTAAAGCCTAAAACCCTAAAAAAACCCTAACCCCCAGACCCCCAAAATAACCCTAAACTCTAAACCCCTAAACTAACCCCGAACCCCAAAACCCTAAAATAACCTCAAACCCCAGACCCTAAAGTAACCCAAAACCCTGAACCCTCCACAAAAAACCCTAAACCCCAAAACCCGAAAAAAACCGCAAACCCTAAAACCCTAAAGCCCTAGCGCTGTGATAGGATTTGGGTGATGCAGTCCACTGCGCCTCTCGGGCCAGGGCTTCCTGCCCAGACGCGCAATTTTTAAAGGGCCTACAAGCCTATTGAGGGTTTAGGGGGGTTTAGGGTTTAGGGCTTTAGGGTTTTAGGGGTTCAGGGTTTTAGGGTTTAGGGTTTCGAGGGTTTGGGATTCAGAGCTGTATGGCTCAAGGGCTCGACATGTTTACCTAAGGCTTCGGCTGCCTCTGCCGATTTTGCTACAGTAAGTAAGTCTTCATGTATGTAGTTGCGATGGTGGAGGAAGAGCCAGTTCAAATACCTCCCCCAATCTCGATAGTCTTTCATATCCACAGCTGACTCCTCGAAGCCCACACATGGGTAGTTCTATGAATAGGGTCCCCTTTGGTTTTGGGGGTCCTTCTTATAAAGGTGCCGTACTCTATCGGGGACCCAAAAAGGGATCTTAAATTAGAGAGCTGGAGCTACCCACATGGTTCTGAAAGCTCGGCCCGTCAGGAAAGCAGTTTCATGCAACGTTTAAGGGTTTAGGGTTTAGGGTTTCCCAGCTGATTCGTCATCACAAGCTTGAGCGCTACCCTGCATCCTACACACTCCCACACAGTACGTAGTGACCCTCAACCTAACATAGACGACGCTTATCCCAACCTGGAATGCCCCATGCCGCCAAAACTCTGAACCCCCCCAGACCTCAAAACATGATGATAGGCGGTTGTATAATGAAGGGGCCTTAATAGTTAGAATAAGGTTTTCGGGTATATTGTACTATAATTGTAATAAGGAACCCCCAAAATAGTATAGGTAAGTATTCGGGCCCCTATGCACTCATAAGAGGTTGAAGTTCGTAGTCAGGGGCCTGACGTCGGCGCTCCAGCAAACGCTGCTTCCGGGCAGCCGACTGCAAGACGATAAACGTTTAGGGTTGATGGTAGAAGGGTTTAGGGTGTAGGGCCGTGTAGGGTTGATGTGCTTCTTCATTGATCGGAAATGGTGTGCGATTACGACTGAACTCGCGACTGCTGATTTCCAAATGTTCGGTAAATCCTACAACCTAAACCCCTAAACGCCTAAACCCTTAACCCGACACCCCTAAACCCCTAAACCTCTAAACCCTCTAAACCCCGAAACCCCTAAACCCTAACCCCCAAACCCTAAACCCTGGTTCTGCGTCGGGGTTTAGCCTGAGCCTAAACCTGACTGCCGCGGCCTCGCCTAAGAGCCCTTTATGGGGTTTCCGAAAATAGGGGACCCTAATATAGTACCCTAAATGGTAGGATCCTTATTATAAGGACCCCCCAAAATAAGGTACCCCCTTCTTTTCGGAAAGTCCTTTATCCTCCACCGCGCTGGCAACCAGTGTAACCGGGTGTGGCTTATATATCCCTCGCTTATCTTAGGAACATCACTAGAGATGGCTTGAAGTTTAAAGTATTTAAAGCCCAAGAACAGTACCGAACGTTTTGACAAGCGCAGAAACAAGTCTGAACATCCAATGCTTCCCAGCGCCTGATTGCATGCATACTTTCCAATTTTGACACCTGAAAAAATCAGATCTCCAACACTCTAGTGGTCAACTTTGGCCCTAAACGCTTTCGCTGCACGCTTGCAAGCAAGAGCGCCTGGTAGCTGGGCACCCTTCCGCCAGCTGGCACTGTGCTCACGAGCCCAGTGCTAGCTAGGGGTTTGGGTTTAGGGTTTAACGTGTAGCTTAGGGCACTCCTGACCCTAAAGCCCGAAAACTAAACTCCCAAAAACTAGAATCCCTGTTTTCGTTCTGAAGGCCTCTCGCCGGTCAGAGTGAGGATCGCCAAAGGGCTCGAAATCGAACCTCTCCTCACGCACTATCATTGATAGTCATTCCAATTCTTGTCTTGGTACTTACAACTTGAGCATGTAGAGGATTTGGAGGTTTGCAGAGCTTTTCATGAACCTGTGGATCCAGTAACCTACCAATTGAAGGATGCTTTGCCGCAGAATATGGGGCAATGACCTGCTTTCTTGCAAGCTCGGGGGATGTATGCGGCGTAGGGCTTCTAAACATGGTATGTGGGGTCCAGTTGCAGTGGATAGCGCCATGCAGGTCATACTTAGTACTTCGGGGCCAGATCACCAGGGACGAGACAAGTCGTCATGCACAAGGTCGTTACACAAAGGAGCGGCGTTGCACTCAGCACATGCCGCTAGGGTTTAGGGCGTTTAGGATGTAGCTTCCACTCCAGCATTTGCTGGGCCAGCGCACTTTCTGCGAGGGGGCTGTCCATTGCTCATACACCTGCAGAAGTCTGCCGCCTAGACAGACACGAAAGTTCCTTCCTTCCTTCCCTCTGAAGATCTGAGCAAGAGACGAGAGATTGAGATTGAGAAAAGAATAGGAGTGTGCTTGCTAAGTCCTATTCTGGCAAGTAGTATTTGCAGGAGAGCCAAGTCGGTCTTCTTGAAACACACGGAGACGGTCGCACTTCCCACTTAGATTTAGCACTTTAGGGGCTTAGGAATTGAGGCTGATTGTTGGCTTTGGGTTGTGGCGGTCAATCGAAGTCGGGGAGCCCGTTGCGACTAGTGCACACTATACCCTACGCCCTAAACCCCTAAACCCTAAACCCCTAAACCCTAAGCCCAAACCCTGAAGCCCGAAACCCTAAACCCTTCACCTTATAAGTTCGGATCAGCCTACCGGGAATCCTTACGTGCAACAGCCTGGTAAAGGATAACGAGAAAATGGTCGAACCCAGCCTGTCCATGACCTTCGCAACGACATGCCCCCTAAACCCTTTGGCATCAGGACTTGTGCAATCGCCTGAATGTCAGAGCATACGGAGGTTCAGCTCTCCTAAACCCTAAACGCCTAAACTCTAAACCCCTTTTTTAAAACCAAACTCTGCCAATCAGCTGGGAAGCAGCACCTCTAAACCCCCGTAAACCCTAAACCCATAGGCCCTTAAACCCTGAATCCCTTGCCTCTCTTCTCGAAGCCGCACTGAGGCCGATAGGCTCCCTAAACGGTTTAGGGTTTAGGGGCTAGGCCCAAAACCCTAAAGCCCTAAACCCTGAACCACGAGATCAGGCGCAGAGGTCTTCTGCACCGAGAGATTCTCTGGAAAGGCTTTTCCACTATGCTACTGCAAGTTTCTGAACCAGAAGACTCGCCTTTTTGGCAGCGTGCCTAACCCTAAACCCTAAACCCTCGAAAAAGGAAAACATAGAAAATGCATGTCCTCCTTCACCAAGTCCCTAAAGCCCCCCCCAAAAAATGGAACCCGGCCCCAGCCAGCCCCAGCCCAGCCCGCCAGCAGCCCGGGGACCCAACCTGAACTCGAAATCGGGCTTCAATGCCCCATCCCAGCCCCAGCCCAACCCAGCCCTCGGCCCAGCCCCAAACCCTAAGCCCTAAACCCTAAACCCCAAACCCCAGACCCTAAACCCAAATTCAAGATCCGGTCCCGGCCCCACCCCCCAGTCACAGCCCTCCAACTCCCATCCCCGGACCCAGGCCCAAGTCGAAAGCAGGTTCCAAAAACGAGGCGTGTTCGCTCAAACCTTTCGGTCAACACAGATTGGAGTCGAGCTGCTGGGAAGTATTTCTTCTCCACCTCGCAAGCTTCACCCATGACTTGGTGCGACTCTCAGATCGGTTTAGGGTGCCGGGTTCAGAGTTAAGAGTTTTGTGTTGTTTTATATACCTTGTCCGACTGCAGGTGCTGATGGAAAGCCCTCGAGTTCTCGAGTTTAGGGTTTGGGGCATTGGCAGCACTATCACGGCAATGATTATAGAGGCTGCTGCAACTTGCAACGACTGCATTCTTCCCTTACTGCCAGGCATTGTAGCTCGGGTGAAGATCCGGATTGAAACCCAGAGCCATATCTAATGGAACATATCACAACATCACATCATATAATATGCTGTTGCAGTATGTTATACAACGAGCTAAATATAAAATACAAACTTCAACCCACAATCTGCCCGACTTCCAACCCCGGGCTAGACTCTGTAAGCTGTGAGTGACATCGAACATCGCCAAAATAAACAGTGTCCGTACCGGGGCTTCTCCCTGCCTGCTCAGGCACAGGCCCCTCCATGAAACATGTGCTAAGGGTTAAACATGATTAGAAGCCAAGAGGGTTGAAGGATACCTACGCTACTCCAAAGCATAGAGAGTCAGAAACCCTACACCCTAAACCCCTAAACCGTCAAGAACTCAAAGTAGCCAAGAGGTTTCCAACCCCGTCCCCGGCATATGAAATGAACTCTGCAAGACCCCTTAGGCCCTGACTCCGAATCCCTAAAAAGGGTAGTTCTCTAAATTAGGATCCCCTTCAGGGGATCCTTTATATTAGGGTGCCATATACTGTATTGGCAGTATTGGGGACATGAAAAGGAACCCTAGTTTAGAGAGCTTCCCAAGAACTCAACCTTCTTCGCCTCCTGCTTGTGGGTAGCGCCTTCTGCACCGTCGCTTTGGACGGTTCGAGGGAAGTCGGCGCCTCGGAGACCAGGAGCCGCAATGGCAAGAAAAGAAGGCAAACTACAAAGACAGCAGCGAGGAAGCAACAACCAACACTCCTAAACCCAAAAGCCTAAACGGAGAACCAAGTAGGGGAGATACCTAACCTCTAACCACCCTAAATTATCTGATAAACCCGAACAGTCCCGTAGATGCCCCCAGCGGCCTCCCAATTACTTCAAAGGCTTAGGGGCTTATGGTTTAGGGTGTAAGGTCTCCGAAGAGGCTTTAGGCTTCAAGGCCTTTACGGTTTAGGGTTGAATTAGGGTGTTGGGAGTCTGTTTTCGGGCAAGGATGCCGCGATTGAAGGTTTTCATCGAAGCCTGCACTTGCTTGGAATCCGCCCGCCAAACTGACCCGCATGTAACCCTGCGCAAGTCCTACCGATTCTCGAGCAAATTCCGGGGTTTCAGCACTCGCACTCGGGTCCAACAAGCCCCGGGGTTAAGGGCTTTGGGCTGAAGGGTATCGATCCTCACCGGGGCAAACAACTGCCCGCCATTCTGACATATTCCACCTTTCGGGTTGAGGGCTCATAGGGACGTCAACATCTGAAGAACGGGAGACAAAGCAGCACATGCCCGACAAAACCCCGCTTCTCTCATATACTCCGGTGTCATAGAACCCGACCCTTAAGGCCTTCGTCGAAGATCCTGCGCTGTTCGGGATCCAACAAGACCTTGTAGGCGTCGGCCACGCGCTGGAAGGCCACTGCGGAGCCTTCCGACGGCAGGACGAAACTGCTGCCTTAAGCTGCCAGGCCCAACTTTTTGCAGGTTCTTCTTCTTATATACGCTCACATGGAACTTGAGGAAGACACTACAAAAAAGTAGATTTTGGTAGGTTGCGGTTATGAAGTGCAGTACGACATCAATCAGCGATCACCCAACAACCATAAACCGGAAAAATCCTCATCCCAGTGGAAGAAACCCTAAACCCTAAAAACTCCAGGACCTCGGTCCGAGGTCGCGGGACACAGAAGATGCCTCCGCGCTTGTCGGGATGGTACTGCAGACTTCGGCGCTTGTAGGCCCGTTTGAGCTCATCGCTCTCATAGTTCTCCTGCCACGGCCAGGTCACGGTTGAGGGTTTAGGGTTTAGGGTTCCAGATCCAATACGGTGCTGACCTCAATTCGCGATAGCACGTCGGAGTTTTGACAACACTCCCATGGGGTTTAGCCTTTACCCTGGAGGGTGGTCCCAAATGTCCAGGAGTATGGCTGACACTGGATCTAATGCTGAGCAAGCCGCTGACTGCATTATTTTCGATAGTTTGGTCTTGTCTCGTATGTCAGTTTGTTCCCCCCGCTTCGCTGACACATCTGAAACCTAACCGTTTCAAAGTGATGCGCGGTTTCGGGCTACGGCGCCTGCAAAGAAGCTTGAATGCCACACCGTGTTGGAGCGTCCAGTCGGCCAATCAAGATGAACAGCAATTGAAACGCCGTATTGCTGCAACATGGTGATGATTGTGCTTCCCATTCCTTCTGGTCCGCTCGCTGCTACCTCTGCTTTGCAACCCTCCTTCCAGGCTCCTGAACAGCCTGAACACTAATCTCTCTAAGCCCAAGTTGCCCTAAACCCACCCGATCGCCCGCTACACTCCAAACACAGTTAGAGACCCTAGCGGCCCTAGCATCATACCATGGGTTCCTGTGCTCTGCAGCTTCAGGGCTCCCACAATCTGGAAGCGCCAGGCTCCAAATATGCGATAAGGGCTTGAGTTGTGAAGGTCAAGGCTTTAGGCATAGGCTCCTAGGTAGTTCCTTTTTGTGGATGATATTTA